CCCGAAACGTCAGCCTTCCCGCTCCTCTGATGCTGCTTGGCCTGTTGTGTTCATCCAGCTCTACACCTGGTTATCTCACATTCTAGGGAACACTTCTAATGTGCATCTTATCCAAATCCCCATTCTTCAGAGCCTAAACTGTCAGAATGAACAAGCTGCTCGGCCATGGTGGTGTTTCTGAGATGAGCTTCTGATCCAACTGTTTACTGTCACCTCCACACAGTCTTTTCAATAACCTTTACTTCAATTCAACTTTAATAATGGACGGCTCACTATGTCAAACTAACTCTCTCCATCTCTTTATACTTACCATTTGAGATCTAATATTGCTGGCATTTCAATCCTCTGTACTTCTTTTAGTGGAGAATAGTGCTGATCCTCATTGAAATAGTAAAGGTAAAGACGCCCCTGTCTTAAATGGGGCTCATTGCTTTCAGAGTCTCCTGCACCCTGAAAAAAAAACCAACATCTATTAAATGAGTTAAATGCAAGACGACTAAGCAATGCTAAGTTCAAGAGGGGTCTTTGATGTAAAACCTTTGAATTAGATATTTTAACTATGACAGGAATGATAGCTGAACCAGAACCTACTCTCAACCATCATCTCTACAGACAAACTATGCACAGGTCCATTGGTAGCTGAATTGCTGAAGTTAAGCAGTTTATTTTTCACAGCTGAGGAATTATGAGAACAATTGGCGTATTCCTGCTTCTGTCCCACTGAATGCAGCACAAGTCTATAGTAAAACAAAAGTCTCCTAATCTGCACTTGTGAATTCCATTTAAAAATAGCGAGGTTTTTTAAGTTATCAATACATTGAGACACCATTTTGGAGTACTGGCTATAATACTGGTTATCTTATTTAAAGGATGTAAATGCACTGGAAACATTTCAGAGGTTTACTAGACTAATACCTGAATGGGTGTTTTGTCTCAAGGAATGGTTTGTCAGTCAAGGTTTGTATCCACAGGGGCTTAGAAAAGTAAGAGATGACTTCATTGAAATAAGAAATATTTGAAAGGTTCTGACATGCTCCATGTGGAAAGAATTCTTCCTTTGGTGGGCAAATACAGAATAATATGTCACTATCAAAATAAGAGGTTGACAATTTTAGGACAGAATTAAAGAAGAAGTTTTCTCTCATCATCAAGAATACTTGGAACTCTTCTGCAAGACAGTGAAGCAGAGTCCTTCTATGGTTTTAAGGCAGAGGTACATAGATTCTTGATAAGTAACGAGGTGAAAAGTAAAATCAGGGCTAAACAAGAACACAAAGTAAATCAGATCAGCCATAATGTTAGCGAATGGCGGACTGGGCTCAAGGATCTGAGTAGCTTAATCTTGCTCCCAGAATCAAGGTCTCTTCCCATGAATGGCATAGTACCTTTTCATTGGGATTCTTCAGTTGATAAGTGCCACAGGTCAGTACATTATGCCACGGTTCAATGGGACACCATTCTACAGCATCTGCACTACACTCTGTATCCACCACTTGCAGGGTTCGAGCTGTGCAGCGAGCCTCCATGTCATTCATTCATTCCAAGATCAATGTGATCATTCAGAAGAACATAGAACTGCAGCCTCTAGCGAAGAAAGTTGACAATTAACTTCTAATTTAGATAGATAAAATCTACTAACACAAAAAAAGACATTTAATTCTT